CAGATCAACTACTCGTGAACAGCTGTACTTGCGTGCCAGACCATGGGGACTCCACTGAGATGTCTACTAGGTAGGGAGTGTTGGAGTATATTCACTTCTGAGTTAAACCGAAGTGCAAGATGTTATAAATTTTAATTAAAAATTGATTTGTAAATTTAATGAGCATGTGTTTCTCAAAGAAAAATAAATGAAATGTTTATTACAATTGTTAATATATTTATTATGCAATGATTTTGATTTAATTAGTCATTTAAATTAATATTTATATTTTGATTACAATTTGAAAGTTTATAAATAAGTTGTCCTCCATTTGTGTTATATGTTATTACATAAAGAACTATGCTGCATTCTTATTCTCTACTGGGCAAGGAAAGGTGGTGGCGTGGTGCTTACTTTAGAAGGGTGCGATTCTTGTAAAGCCACAACAAAAAATGTTGAGTTGTTGTATTCTGAGGATAACATGATTATATAAAATTGTTGTACTAATGGCACGAAATGTCTTAAAGAAAGAGATTAATCCATGCCTCAATCCACCATTCTTTATCTTTGTAAACATTATTTAATATTATTTTTTCTCTAATTTAATACTAATTTCTCATATTTTTTGATGTGAGGAACAATGTTGATGTACTGGAATGTAAGAAAGAAAGCCAATAAACAACATTTATACACAATCGATATGAAAATTAAAGTTTGAGAAACAACACAAGATCCTATGGTAAAGAGAAATAAGGTATTGGAGTAACATATGTAAATATAGGAGATTTATGAACTTATTAAACATATTTTTAAAATTTAATATGATATTTTTTTATATGTGTTTTGTTTTTTACCTAATTGACTTGTTAGACTTTTCTACCAAGTAGTGTCTAAATTAATAATTCAATTCTGACACATTTGGTGGATAGATAAGGTTTGGTAGACAATTAAGATCTTTTAAATCTAAAATAGTTATATTTTATTAAAAATATAAAATCTCACAATAGAAAAAAAAAATATTAAAGTAAAATATATACATAGAAAACTCATGAACCATGTGTTTTCGTACATAGAAAACTCATGAATCATGTGTTTTCGTACATAGAAAACTCATGAATCATGGGTTTTCGTACTCTGTTATTTATGCACTCCCAAACCAGTTTATAAGATTCTCCTACCAAAGAAAATTTGTTAAAGTTATAAAATTTTTACCTTAATTTAATTTTTAAACATAATTTACTTAATTTGATGGTTAAAAACCATTGTGATGCGACAACGTCTGTCCCAGTTAATAACGTATGGATCCGCAACAAAACTAAGATTTTAAGACGGCAGAAGGTGCAATTCAGCCCCTCTACGTCCATTGTTGTGGTACATCAGCCCCTCTACCTAAAAGTAGAGCAAATCAGCCCCTCCCTTGACCAAACCCGCAAATCAGCCCTTCTGCTGACGATGACCTCATCAAATGTCATCTTTTCGTCCACGTCCTCGTTACTCCGTTTTCAAGAAATGGCTCGGTGTTAATATGACGTTGGGTGGGTGACGTTGGGCGGGTGACGTGATCAATTTAAATTGCAAAATCACTAAAGAGCCCTCATCTATTTCTTTTTTTTCCATTCATCTTCTCTCTCCTCTTTTACAATCTCTCTCTTCATATTGCAGATTTACTTTTTTTTTTCAATTGTTTAAATTAAAATTTTCTTCAAATAAATCTAAACTTTAAAAAATTATTAAAAAAACTTTCAAAATATGAAAATATAAAAATTAAAAAAAAAATTAAAATTAAAATCAAAACTTGTGGCTTTGTTGACATCAAGTAATTCGTTCATTAAGTTTCCATTTCCAATAACCCAAAATCTACCTCATTTTATTTTTTTAAAAAAATACATGTAATATTTATTTATTTTAAAAACCATCTCAAAAATAGATTTATATATTTTTAATAAAAATACAAACTTAAAAAAAATTATGGATTCATATGTATCCATTTACTACTGCTTCATCCTAGTACAAATCAAAAACTTTCTGCAACAAAAAGGCATATATAAATTCATAATTTTTTCTTTTTTTCTTTTTTTTTTTAGTTTGTGTTTTTATTAAAAAATATATGAATTTATTTTTGAGATATTTTTTTAATAAAAATAAATATTACATATGTTTTTATATAAAATAAAGTT